CTGAGAAGCCTCAGAAAAGAAATGTAAACAATAACTATCTGATGGCTGTGGAATGGGGTCTGGAGGTGGTTTACCAGCAGGTGCATCTTTGGTTGGTCTCATGGGGGTTGTTTTTAATTAATGGCCAATCACAGCCAGCTGTGTCAGACTCTGAGTCTGTCACAAGATTTTATTATTCATTCCTTTCTAGCTTTTTGATGCCTCCTTTCTCTTTCTTTAGTATAGTTTTAATATATCATTTTCTTTTAATATAATATGTATCATAAAATAATAAATCAGCCTTCTGAAACATGGGGTCAAGATTTTCGTCTCTTCCCTCATCCTGGGGATTCTCAAACACTACCACAGTCATGGGCATAAAATTGTTGTGAGAAGCAAACCCAATAGGAGAGAGGCCCTGTCATAGAAAAGGGGGAAAAGCACTTTTGCTGTTAGCAATAAGTGTTGTGAGTGGCTGACAGGCTCTTCAGTGTAATACTGGATGTGTTTTTCCCTGGCAGAGTGCAACTGTTCGCCTTGTGGGACTGACTCCTGCCATCCACAAACTGGGCAGTGCTTCTGCAAGCCTGGAGTGACGGGCCAGCACTGTGACCGCTGCGAGGTGAGGCTCACCTGGGCCCTGGGGTGGCACCTGTCCTTGCCTTGGGGATGGGGGCAGCCCTGGTGTGCCATCCCCCAGGCCTGTGAGCCCAGCAGGGCTGGTGCCAGCTGCTGAGGGATGAATTGGCCTGAGTGCATGGCAAAAGCCTGTTAAAGATCTGGCAACAAGCAGTGCAGGCAGCATTCCAGTGAAGTGGCATCATTTGTGAAGCTGCAGTAAACCCCATTTTCCTGAGTGCATCCACCTTGGGCAAGGCAGGTTCACAGGGCAGTGCTGTGGCGTGCCTGTGCTCTCACTGCAGTTCCACATCTTTACCATGCTGCTTTGAATTTTGTGGTGCTCAAAACACACCTGGAAAGGAAAGGGGGGTCCCCCATCACTTAACCTGGAGAGAGGCACACTTGCTGACCAGGGCATCTCTCGGGTTTGCTGTTGATAATTGCTGCCCTGAGATGCTCAGGGTGTCTCTGTTTCGGCCTGCGCGGCTGAAGAATGAGTCTGGACTCTTCACTTTTTGGTCTTGAGGTTGTTTATTAATTCTTATCTATAAAATTTTCTTTCTGCCCAGTGGAGGTCCACTCTGCAGGGCAGCCACAGGCACTCTGACTGCCCTCGAGGCGGTGTTGTCCTTTTGTTCTATAAACTACATATAACATATTTACACTTAAGTCCCAATACCTATCACCTATGTTAGACAGTGCACTTCTACTCTAAACCAATCCCAAAGTGGCAACATCACTGCAGAAAATGGAGAACAAAAAGAAGGAGAAAAGCTAGAAACGCCCCGGTTCCTTCATCTTGTCCCCATAACCCCCATATCAAAAATCCTAAAAACTACATTTTTACCCTGTGATCATTTTGTTATTACACTCTTCAAACCTGTGTGACTTTCAGATCCTCATACAAAGTTGGCACACTTGCTCCAGGGGTCAAAATCAAATCCCCAGGTGTGCCAGGGTCTCTGAGCCCCTCGGCAGCTCTGGACACCCAGAGGGATGCACTGAGTTCCAACAGGTATCCATGTCCTGCTTTTCCCTAGGAGGGGTATTACGGCTTTGAGGGCTGCTCGGGCTGCCGGAGGTGTGACTGCGACGTGGGCGCCGTGGGGAGCAGCTGCCACCTGCAGAGTGGGCAGTGCAGCTGCCTGCCCGGGGTCAGCGGCGCCCGCTGCCACCAGTGCGCCCCGGGCTACTGGGGCTTGGGCCGGGCCGGCTGCACAAGTGAGTGAGAGTGTGTGGGAATGCGTTTTGGATAATGGAGTGACAAAACTGTCTTTTGTTTCTTTAAGTTTAGAAGTTTTTCTTCTCAATTAAGTAAAAAAAAAGGCATATCATAGGCTTGAAAGGCTTCACTTTAAACTTAAGGATGGCTAATTAGACAAAAGCCAAAAAGTCTTGCTTGGGCAATTTGCTAGAAAAAGAAGAGAGCAAAGAAACTAATTGCTTTTGTGAGGTGTTTGTTTTACTAGGAGCAAGAACTTCTTGCACCTAAATCTGATTTTTTCTCTAAGGAGTTTGTTATTTTGCCTTTTTTTTAAACCTTTTTGTTTCCAACACTGCACCAAAAGCCGTTCTGCTAATTTTATGCCTCCAAAGGTAGCTGAGCTATTTTAAGTGAAAAATAGACCTCGAAAAGATTATAATACGTAGCTCAAAGAAGCACCTATTATTACTAGTGTGGGGTCCCATCCAGGGGCACTGGGACAGGGCTGTGCTGCTGGTCCAGTTGTTGGAGGTAGAAAACAGCTGGCAGCTGTCTGAGGGACACTGCTTTGCACAGGGAACCCCCAGCAGCAGGACACAGCTGGGGTAAAACCTTTCCTTCCCCTCTCTCCAGAGTGGTAAAAGCCCCAAATGATTCTCAGTTTCTTGTCCCTGCAGAGTGTGAGTGCAGAGGGGGCTCCTGTGACCCCCGCACTGGGGAGTGCACGTGTCCCAGCGGGCTCACGGGGAAGCAGTGCGACGTCTGCCTGCGCCAGCACGAGGTCCTGGTGGCCAACGGCCCCGACAGCATCAAGTGTGAAGGTCTGTGTGCCTCTGTCCTGGGGAAGGAGGGAAGGACAGCCCTGGAGAGGGCCTGTGCTGACTGCTGTGTCCCTGCAGTGTGTGACAGCTGTGTCCTGCTCCTGCTGGAGGACCTGCAGAGCATCGAGATGTCCTTCCCGTCCATCCGCGGCCAGCTGGTCACCCTCAACGCCAGCTCCATCGCCTGGGCTCGCCTGCATGGCCTCAACGGCACCATTCTGGCCATTGCTGTATGTGGAAAGCTTCACATCACCTTCTGCCCATGTTTCCTGGCCTGTTGGCCTGATTTAGCCTCTTGTAATTTTTATTTTTCTTTTTTTTCCCCTAGAACCAGCTCCGTGAGTACCACAGAGCCATGAGCAGGGCCAGGCAAAGGGCTGATGAGCTGGAGGGTGAGAACATGGATCTCACACAGGACCTGAATGCACTGCAGCACAAAGTAGGGCATTTCTCCATCATTCTTTGCCAGAGCACAAATCCCCCTTTTATCAAAATGAGGGCTTTGAAGGCTGTGAGGAGCCTTGTTCAGGCAGGTTGGGTCTCCAGCTCAACCAGAACTAAATTGCAGTGTTAAGTGGTCAAGCTGGATTACCTGCTTTCCTTCCATGGAGAGCTGTGAAACATCTCATAATACTGATAGTTTTTCTCGATTTACTGCTTGCTTTTGAGGTGGCTTCAACTTCAAGCAGTAAAAATAAATTCAATCAAATATCATTTATAGAAGGGACATATAAGAAAGGAGACAAAACATCCGGGTCCACCGTGGATGCAATCTATATCCAGCCTAAAACCTAGCAGTCACATCTTCAGAGAATGGATAAACTGAGCAAGATTTGATTTCACTTCACTTTGATTTATAAACTGCCTGCTCCTAATGTGAGGGAGAGGGACAAATCTCTACTTGATGACATATCTCCCCAGACAGCTGCAAAGACAAACTGCCCTGTGTGTACCCGACAGCCAGACTGCAGTCCCCTGTCACTTGATCAGGACCCAGGTGTGCCTGGCTTCAGGCTCTGGGCCTTTCCCTGTGTTAAGAGCACAGAGCAGTGCTGAACTCTGATGTTGGGGTTATTACAGCATCCAGAGTCCCTTGCATTGGAGCTGTATTTAATGCTTGTGCTTCTCTGAAGGTGCTAAATAATCATCCTTTAGTACATTGTGGGACAGGCTCCTTCAAGGACCTCACAAGTGACACATTTCCAGGCCTTGTGTGCCTTTTGGGAGCAACAGTCCCACTGACAAATGACATAAAATACCATCTCATACTTGAACTAAGCCATTGTTTTTGTGGTAGATGACCATGACTCACAGAGAAGCAGTTCGTGTTGAGCAGCACACAAGGGACATGTACCAGAGAGGGGAACAGCTCCTGCTGCACATCCAGAGCATCCAGAGGGGCATTGCAGGTATGTCAAGAAGGGTCTTCACTTTGGGGTTTTTCCCTATGTGATGTGTCAAGTCCTGCAGTGCTCAGAGAAAGCCATGGAGGAACAAAGAAAACAAAAAAATGAAGATCCTGCAGAATCCCAGCTTTTACCCTGACCAGCCTTATTGTGATTCTCAGCTGCTTGGCTAAACATAAGTCTGGAGAAAAAACATTAAACTTCCACAAATGTTTCTAAAATGCATAAAATGGGGGCAATCTGCGCTGCAGCTTCAGGAGAGATTGAGCAAAGCAGAGTGGCTGGATCTTGTACAAGAGGCAGAGCCACAGAAAGATGCTCAGGATGTAACATGTGTTACTGGTCGTGGCCAAGGAGGCTGAAACACATGGCAGTGCCTCTGGGTGATGTCAGGCAGATTGTTGTCCTGAAAGCTGTCGGTGGTTTGTGAGGAGAGCCTCGGGGAGCTGTGAGGCCCTGGTTTGCTCAGTCTGACGGGGCGTGGGTTTCCCTGCAGAGCTGGTGCGGCAGATGGCCAGGATTGGGGCAGAGAACGCCAGCACCACGTCCGCAGAGGAGTTCCGGCAGAAGCTGGCTGAGGTGGAGAGGATGCTGAGGGAGATGAAGGAGAGGAGCCTGGGAGCCCAGGAGGAGCTGGCAAGGCGTGAGCACGAGGAGGCTAAGAAATGTGAGTCCTTGGTGGCACAGGGCTGCCCAGGTCCTGCTGGCTCTGGCTTGGAGCCCACTGCACATCATGGTCCTTTAGAGAGTGCTATTAAGAACCAGGCATCCCCAGCCATTTTTATAGGAGTTACAAAGTCCCCTGTGACACTCCAACAGGATAATTTGTGCTTCCTTTTCCCTTAAGGCAAATTTCAGAGCAGAACTAAGTGGGTAGTTCTGTTTGATGAACAAAAATGACAACACTTAGAACCAGGAATCACCATTATTATGTGATGTGTTCACATCACACGTGGATGGGAGTAGTTCACACAATGTTTCTTCCTATTTGCTGTCCCCATGGAGTAACAACAGCAGCCAGCTCCCACAGTAGCTCTGCTGTTCCTGAGGGCATCTTTGCAGGAGTGAGAGCAGTGAGCCCAACCAGAGATGCTGGCACTGCAGGAAGAGAACACTTCTGATTAACAAGCCTTGGCAGAGCATAACTCAGTAGCTGAAAGCTGGAATTATAGACTGACTCTTATTGGAAATAAGTAATTTTTCACAGTGGAAGTAATCAAGGCCTCAGGTCTATCATCTGGATCTTTTCAGGCATGGCTGTGTGTCTTTGAAAGAGATCCCATCTCTCTGAGGGTTTGTAGACAGTCATGGACAAGATCCTGTGCCATCTAGGTGGAAGGGGAGGGAGGGGTGGAAGATGGTCACTTCTGGCCTTGATATCTGCCAAGATCAGAGCCAGGCTTTGAGGCACAGAAAGAGAGTTTAACAGAGGAAGGGGAATTAGCAAGAGTTGTCCTCCCCCTGCGCAGTGCTGCATCGGGTGAGGAGCGAGCTGCACGCCCGCTGGCAGTCCAACCAGGACCTGCTGAGCAGCATCCAGGAGAGGCTGGCCCAGCACAGCTCCCAGCTCATGGATCTGAGAGATGCCCTCAACGAGGCTGTGAACAAAACCAGGCAGACAGAGGAGCTCAACAGCCTGAACCGAAACAACCTGGAGGAGACTCAGGTAGACCTTCACCGTGGTGTCCTGATTTATGGAGTGAGGGGGGCTGTCCCAGCCCTGCTGCTCCCTAACCCTGGGTCTTTGTGTCCAGCAAAAGAGCCAGGAGCTCCAGAAGCAGCATGCACTGGTGCAGGAGACCCTGCAGATGGCCAGGGACGCCCTTGCCCAGGTCTCTGACTTCCTGCAGATGATGGAGCGTGCCAAGGAGGTGAGTGGCACAGGCACTCTGGCATGGGCAGAGGAGAGGTGAGGCAGCCCTCAGCAGTGACAGGTGTCCTTGCAGGCCTATGAGAAGCTGGCAGCACTGCTGGATGGGGCCAAGCTGCCCCTCACTGAGCGAGTGAAGAAGTTCTCCCCAGCCAGCAGCAAGATCCCCATGGTGGAGCAGGCAGAGGAGCACGCCCGGCTCCTGGATGAGCTCGCACGGAACCTGTCTGGGTGAGGCACTGTCCTGGGCCCCACTGCTCAGGCTGTCTGCTGCCAGGGCTGGGGATGGGACCTGCAGCCCCACCATGGCAGGGAACAGTGGGGTGTCACCTCCAGAGTTTTATACTGGAGCAGCACAGAGGGGTTTGTCTGTGAGGGCATGGGCAAGAGCCTGTTCTCCATGGGCTTGATGGCTTCGTGTTCCAACACAGCATTATCCAGGACACAAACCAGGATGGCTTCATCCAGAGGGCAGTCAATGCCTCCAATGCCTACGCCAGCATCATTGAAGCTGTGAGGAAAGCAGAGCAGGCAGCCCACGATGCTGACAAGGCAGCCAGCGAGGCCCTGATGGTACGTGCTGTGGGGAGCCCTGTGAGATGGGCAAAACCCAAACTCCCTTCCCTCTGACACCAGGGCACTGTGCTCTGTGCCTGAGAGCACAGTCTGCCACAGCTGGGGCCACACTCAGTATTTGGGTCTCCCTTTTCTGAACTAGCTTTTCTGTGTGCAGTCAGAGCCAGAGCCTTGAATTCCTCTTCAGTCCCATGTTTGTTTCACAGAATGTCATATCAGAAAACCTCGGGGCCACCTCCAGAACACTGAAGAGGAACAGCAGCAGCCTGGAGGAGGCTGCAAGGAGACAGCAGAGCAAACTCAATGGGGGTGAGAGATGCTCCTGGTGGGATCTGCTGTCCTTTGGGTTGGACTGAGCTCCAGCAAACAGCATTTCTTTAATTGCAGCTATTAAAGGCACTCTGCAGACAGCAAAGGACAAGCTGGCTGGTCTCCGTGCGAAGAAGGAGCAGCTCCTGAGCCAGCTGCAGTCTGTGCAGGACATGCTGGGCAGGGAGCAAGGTTTGTTCTGGGGTGGCTGAGCTGATTCTCTCTGCTCCCTTCTTCATGCACTGACTGTGATCCAAGGTGCTTCCTCCCTGCTCCTGGACACCGCAGAGATACTCCTTTCTTTGCAGAGGACACAAAGGACACAATCCAGAACGCCAAAGCAGCTGCTGCTGAGGCCAATGAAACAGCTGCTAGAGTGGAGGATGCCCTGAGCACCATGAAGAAGAACCTGGATGAGTGGAAAGATCAGTATGGAGGCCTCCGGAATGAAGACCTGAACCAGGCAGTCCAGGATGCCAGGAAATCTGGTGAGTGCTGAGCCTGGTGTGCCCCAGGGTGAGTCTGATATGAGCCACTGCATGCACAGATGCCCCCAGAGTGTTTTTGAAAGCTGTGCTTTGCAGCTCCAGGTCAACAGCAGAGGGAGGTAGCCAATCCTGGATGCTTTAAGTCCTGGCCCTTTTTTTTCCTCTCTTGCAATGTATCACCTGTAGCTTTACTGCAGGAGGTTGCATGCACTGGGGCATTCTCAGACTCCCTCAAGGATGATGGGTTTAGGGGGATCTCTCTCTAACTGCTCCCAGCTACCACTGCTTTGACTTGCATTTCTCAAACTGCCTGAACTTTGCATTTCCCTTCCTTGCTAACCTCCAAAACTCCTGGCTCCTCTTCCAACCCTAGTGTCCAGCCTGGAGAGCACCATTCCCCTCCTTCTGGAGAAGCTGAGCAGCCTGGAGAACAGGAGGAACAAAAATGCCACCGTGTCAGAGAACATCGTGAGGATCCGGCAGCTCATCACGCAGGCGAGGAACGCTGCCAGCAAGGTGAGCTCAGGGGAGGCTGGGGGCTGGAGGAGGGCTTGCCTGAGGGTGGCATGCAAAGGGGAGGGTGTTTGGGGCCACCAGGAAGGGTCCCTTTCTTGTGGGGTTTGGTAGAACTGCAGTGGCAGTGGGTTCAGTGCCACAGGGCTGGATTTCTCTCCCCACAGGTGAAAGTGCCCATGAAATTCAATGGCAGCTCAGGGGTGCAGGTCCGGATGCCCAGCAATCTGCAGGATTTAGCAGCCTACACATCCCTCAAATTCTACATCCAGAACCCCGAGCCCAGGGGCCAGCAGGACGAGGCAGAGGAGGGGCGGTTCGTGTTGTACCTGGGCAGCCAGGAGGTGAGATGGGGCCAGAGGGTGATGGAGCCCTTGTGCATCAGTGATGCCCATGCCTGGACGTCAGCCCCTCACCTGGTCCCCGAATATCCTTGTGGGGGACACAAAGCCCCTGGATGCAGCCATCAGCCTGGTGGAATAGGGGCTGTTTGTCCAGTGCAGCCCTGGGAGCATCAGGGACAGCTCCTGCCTGTCCCAAATGCTGACATGTGGCCCTGTCTCTCCCTGAGTTCAGGCCACTGGAGACTACCTGGGCATTGTGCTCAAGGACCGCAGAGTGCACTGGATCTACAAACTGGGAGATGAGGAACCAACCTCCCTGAGTGTCGATGAGGATATTGGAGAGCAGTTTGTCACCATCAGCATCAACAGGTGGGGCCTTTCCTCAGGGAGGACAGGGTTTGCTCCTTTGGGGTGTCCCTTAATCTTGACCATGCCTCCTGCTGCAGGATCCTGCAGTACGGGCACATGTCGGTGATCGTGGAGAGGCAGAGGGTGCACGAGATCAAGGGAGACAGTGTGGCCAGGGGAGAGCAGGGGCTGCTCAACCTGGACCCCCGCAGCGTGGTCTTCTACGTGGGGGGCTACCCCTCCAGCTTCACGGTGAGGCATCCAGCGGGGAGGGGGCTTCAGGAGGTTCCTACAGGAGAGGAAACCCTGTGTGAGTGTTGTGTTTAACCCCCAGCCTCCTCCTGCCTTGCGCTATCCCAACTACCGTGGGTGCCTGGAGCTGGACACGCTGAACGAGGAGGTGGTGAGCCTGTACAACTTCCAGCACACCTTCGAGCTGGACACGGCTGCTGAGAAACCCTGCGCCAGGTGGGCACCACAGCAGGCAGCCAACAAGTGGAACACCCAGTCATCATCATTGGCCACCTAGCCTCATTCACCTGTGTCACAGTCATCCTAGTTTTATTCCCCCTTGCAGCCTCCCTAGAGAATAAACTACTCAAACTCTAATTAACTCTAATAGTTTATAAAAACATTGGTCTTGTAAGCCAAAGATTGAAGACTAAACCCCTTCTTAGATTACCCCACCATCCTGGCTCAGGAAGAAAGGATTCTCTGGCTGCTGAGAAACCCTGCCCCGGAGCACTTAGAGCTCAGTTCTGTTCACTCCATGCCTTGGACTGATGCCTCTTGCTGTGTGTGCCAGGTCCAAGTCCACGGGAGATCCCTGGCTGACTGATGGCTCCTACTTCGACGGCAGCGGCTACGCCGAGATCAAGTTTGAGAGCCAGTTCGGCACCACCAAGCGCTTCGAGCAGGAGATCCGCGTGGTCTCCTACAACGGCATCATCTTCTTCCTGGAGAACCAGGCAGGTGCTTGCTGCCCTGGGGAGCTTTCATCCCTCAGGGGACAGTCCCAGTTCATAGGTGTTCCCAGTTCAGGACACATGGGAGAGGAGGGCTTTGGAGATTTCAGGGCTGCTTGGAGCAGGATTTTGGCACTTGTTAAAAGCCATGAGAGGACTGGACCCAAACCTCACAGCAGTCACTTGGCTGGTGCTGGAAGGGCCAGGGTTCACGGGCAGGCAGTGCTGCAAGGAGCATTTCCAGCTTGCAGGGCTGCTGATTGAAATTAAATCCCAGATAACTGTGACCAGGGCACTGGAAGTGGGACCTGCTCCCACCAGAGCTAAAGGGCAGGTTTAGTGCCACAGCTGCATCCTGGGCACCTGCTGAGTGTCCATCCTGCCTCCCCAGGGTCAGTTCCTGTGTCTGGCCATCCGGGATGGGAAGCTGGCTCTTTACTATGATTTCAGCTCTGGCCTGGAGATGGCAAAACCGAGCAACTCCTCATCCCTCACCATCAGCAGCGCCACAAACAAAGCGGTAAGAGGTGACGGGGCTCTCTTGGAGGGAATGCTTCTCATCCAGGGTGGGGAGGAACATGGACCCTTGTTTTTGAGGGGGAAGAGCTGCAAGAGGTTTTCTGACTTGAGCCATTAACTTGACACTTTGTCTGCTCTCTGTGATGGACCTAACTGCCTCAGACTGACGGATCATTTCTCTGTTCTGTCTCCAGATCCAAATTTTCCTCCTCAAAATGAATAACAAGAAGCGCATCCTGGTGCGGGTGGAGCGCCTCACCATCTTTGTGGTGGAGCAGGAGAACTCCCTGGAGAACGCTGTCTCCTACTACCTGGGGGGTGTGCCCCCAGCTGTGCTGCCCCCCAGGTGGGTCCAGCCTGCACTGGGCTGGGACAGTCAGCACGCTCCCCTCCAGTCCCTGGTGGTGGCCCTGGCCCTTTCTCAGCCGCACCCAGGGCTGTTGGAACCCTGCTGAAACTGAGGGGGAGGTTTTCCTCTCCCTGTCCATCATCCTGAGCTTTTAAGGATGGTAACTTTTCCATCTCTGGTGAGGGATGAGGTGCTGGTGGGTGTCACCAAGTCCTCCTTTGCCATGCTGAGTGCTCTGGAGCAGCCTTGACACTGGAGATACCCGTGACCATCACAATTCATTCCCAAGCCCTTTGCCTGAAAGAGCTGCAGGGCCAGATCCTGCCCAGCGCTGTGTCTGCCTGGGGCTGTCCTTGTTAACACTGTCTGCTTCTCCTGCAGTTTGAAATCTCTCTTCCCCACGGGTGGGCCCATCCGGGGCTGCATGAAGGGCTTGAAGGCCCTTGGCAAGTACGTGGACCTGAAGCGCATGAACACCGTGGGCGTCAGCTACGGGTGCACCTCGGATCTCCTGGTGAGCACAGGGCCCTGGCAGCCTGGCCAGCCTGCTGGGGAAGGGTCTGCAGGGAAAGGGAGCAGGACAGGCCCCATCTCGCCTCATTCACACAGAAACAAGCATAAACCTCCCACGCCCTCAGTGTAGAAGGGTCATGGTGAGGTGCTTGCTCCACATGGTTGGCCATAGCAACAGCCAGAGGAAGCAGAGCTGCTCACTCAATTCCCAGCACCCCAGCAAGGCCAGGCCAGGCTCCCAACTTGCCTCTGTGCTCTCTCTCACAGGTTGCTCGCTCCGTGAGTGTCCATGGCCACGGGTACCTGACCCTGGCTCTGACAGATGTGCCGGGGCTGAGAGACTTCTACAGCGGCTTCAGCTTCCAGACAAACCAGCCTGAGGGGCTGCTCTACCACCACTCCACCCAGGTGGGCACCTGCAGGCCCCCAGATATCCCAGCAGTGGGGCTGCTGGGGAGGTGCTGCTTCCCCTTGGGAAAAAGGGGATTTTGGTGGGGCCAGGATGTGGATCTGCAGTGAGATCTGCACCCTGAGCTCCTGGAGGGCAGTGCAAAAGTGGGGTTCAGCTGCTGAGCTGCTGCATGATGCTTTTTCTGCAGGAGGGGACGTGCCAGGTGTCCCTCCAGAGGGGCCAGCTGGCCTTGAACCTGCTGGGAAGCGAAGTCATCACTGACAGTGCCTATGCAGATGGCAGGGCCCACTACGTGGCCTTCTACAGTGATGCCCGTGGGTACGTGTCCCGCTGTGGGTGCCATGGGGCTGGGCTGCCCACAGGCAGAGGGTCCTGCTGAGCCCCTGCTGCCCCCCCAGGCTCAGGCTGTACGTGGATGACGAGCTGCAGGACAGCAGGACGGGCCCCGGGCGCAGCCGGCGGCAGCGGCGCCAGGAGCAGCGTCGGCTCTTCCACCTCGGGGGCTCCCCGGAGCCAGGGGCCCTCAGCAACATCAGCGGCTGCATCGGGAACGTGTTTGTCAAACGGTGAGTGACGCCCTGCCCCTTCCACACAGCAGGGCTCAGCCCCTCCCACCTCCCAGCTGCTGTGACAGGGACCTTTCCTCCCCGTGAGCAGGATGTCAGAGCCGCAGATGGTGGTGGACCTGCAGCAGAACGTGGAGAGCATCAATGTCACCATGAGCTGTCCCATGGGCGAGCAGTCGCAGCAGCTCAGAGTCACTCCAAAGAAGGACAGGCGGAAACCCAAGGTACCAGCTGCTGCCAGAACTCCCCACAACCTCCTCCTCATCCTCCTCGGGTGCTCAGCTCTGCTGGCAGGGCAGGATGCTCCCCTCACTCCATTCCCTGGTGTGCATTGTGTAGGTGCCGGGCAGGCCAGCGCCCAAGGGCCGCCGCCACGACCAGGACGGGCTGTGCCAGCTGCACCCCCAGCCCCGCACAGCCAGGGGCTCCTCCCGCTTCGGGGGGACCCCGAGCAGCCGCTGGGAGTTTGATGAGATCCCAGCCTCCTTTGGGTGGAGGTGAGCCTGGCCCCATGCCCACCCTGTGCAATCCTGGCCCTGGCATCATGGCCTGGAAGTGCATGAGCCGTGCAGCTGCAGGAGAGCCGGTGCTCCCATCGCTCCCTGTCCCTGCAGGTCCCATTTCTCCCTGGAGGTGAAGCTGAACTCCTCCAGTGGGCTGCTGTTCTACGTGGCGGGCGAGCGGGGCTCCTCCATGGCTCTCTTTGTGTCCAACGGGCGCTTTGTTTTCCTGCTGGAGCTCGGCGGGCGCCGGCTGCGCATCCGCAGCAGGGACAAGTACCGCGACCGCCGGTGGCACACGGTGAGCGGGGCACGGGCTCAGCAGCACCTCCCTGAACCCCATCAGTGCCCCTGCAGGGGCTGGCCCTGCTCTGGGAGCTGCTTCTCAATTGCACATGGGATGCTGCAATCCCAGGGGAGCAAAGGGGACAGTGAAATCACAGCTGGAGCTGAACCTCTGAGCTGAGGCCTCCCTTTGCTGGGGCTCCTCCCAACCCAGTCTTGGCACCAACCTTTGCTCTTCGCAGGTTTTCTTCAGCAGAGACCAGAGCCGGGCCCAGCTGGTCATCGATGGGCTGCGAGCCCAGGGTGCTGCAGTGGCCACCACAGGGCTCTTTGTGGCCCAGAGCCCCTTGTATGTGGGGGGGCTTCCAGCTGGAAAAGCCAAGGCTCACATACCGGTAAGGGCCTGCTGGCCCCATGGCATCGCCCTCTCTCAGCCTGTTCCCAGTCCCATGGCATCACCTGGTGTCTCCCAGTTTTTGCCCCGCTGTGCTCAGTGGCCTCTCTCCACAGGCTGCATCAGCCTCCAGCTTTGATGGCTGCCTGAGGAACCCCCAGCTGGACGGGAGGCCCCTTGGTCCCCCCTCACGCACTTTTGGGGTGACGCCGTGCTACGAGGGCGCGCTGGAGAGCGGGGTCTTCTTCACCACGGATGGCGGCTCCATCACCTTAGGTACCCTGCTGTGGGCTGGGACTAGGAGGGTCACATTCCATGGGGATGCCCTGGGTCCTCACCAATGGCATTTCTGTTTCAGCTGATGCAGTGATGACTGAGCAGGACTTGGAGGTGACACTGGAGGTGCGTCCCCGCAGTGCCTCTGGCCTCATCTTCCACATTGGCACGAGGAGGAGCCACCATCTCCTGCTGTACATGGAGGACACCCAGGTACTGGGAGGGGGCTTCCCCACAGGTTCCAGAGGGAGTGGGTGTCTGCTGCCTGTCCCTCTCAGCTCTCCAGCTCTGATGGTTTTGTCTCACCGCAGGTCACTGTGAGAGCAGCCGTTGGGGACGATGAGTTCTCAGCGTCGGTGACGAGCCCAGCTCTCTGTGACGGGCAGTGGCACACCATTGCAGGTGAGGTGACAGCTCCCCTGCTTCCGTGGCTCTGCTCAGCCCACATCTCCTAGGGGAGCTCAGGACAAGCCCAGGCTTGGCAATTTAAACCCTGTCTCCCTGCTGTGTGCACTTAATGTGGGAGTTTGTAGCTGCCATGAGGTCAATTCCCTAATTAACAAGAACTCCTGCCTGATCTTAGCACTGTCAGCTCTGGTAGTCAGGTTGTTTTTCCACTTCATGGAGCTGCTGACAAGGCCAAGGATGTGCCACAGCACTTGATCCATCCTGGACTGTGTCCAGCTTGAAGTGAAAGCTCAATTTGCTTTGGTGTTGAGTGTGTCCAAAGGGTTCCAAGCTCATAGCTGGGAGCAGGGATTGCAGAATTCATACCTGTAAAGGAAACTGAGGCTTTCATGTAGCTGCCATTGAGTAGGTGCTGTTTTTTATCAAGCCCTTTTTGGGGTGGGGGCACAGCTGCAGCCCCATCTCAGCACAGCTCTATTTCAAACCTTCATCTTGTTCAGCCAGCGCTGGGTGAGGTTTTGGGGGAGATTGTCCTGACTCTGGGCATTTCCCAGAGCTAGGCCAGGCCCTTTGACCCTCAGTAGTTTTGCACTTGCTGCAGCACTGGTCTAGGTTGGAGAGCAGAGATGGGCTTGCTCCTTGGGTAAGGAAGCGGCACTGACTGTTGTTTTCTTTTGAAGTTACCAAATGGAAAAACATAATCCAGGTGGACGTGGACGCAGAAGGCAACCACACAGTGGGGCCCAGCCAGCCCCCTGCACCCAGCACAAGGGCAACCTTCTCCCTGGGAGGGCTGCCAGGTGAGTCAGGAAAGATGAGCTCCAGGATGAAATGCCCCAAGGACAATGGAGATACTATTCCTGGTGCGAGGGAGGGGTTAAGCCTTTGCCAGACTAATGCCTGCTTTTGCTTGTGTTTTTTGCAGAGACAGACAAGGCCAGCACAGGGCTGCTGTTACCTCCCCTCCCTCACTACGTGGGCTGTGTCAGGAACCTGCAGATCAACCAGAGGCACGTGGACCTGCCTCGAGCTGGGACTGCCCGGGGCTCTGTGAGCCTGAAGGGCTGCCCTGTGCTCTGAGTGCCACATCAGGGACAGCCCGAGGGACAGAACGCTGCTGCAGCCCCGGTGTCACCACCAGAGCACTGCCCGTGCTCGGACACACTTATCTCCAGCGACTGCAGGCACAGGTCTGGGCCAAACCAGAGGGGCCACACATCCCAGGGGAAGGACGGCAGGGGAGGAGGGAGCACTTCGGGGATGTTTCACAAATAGAACCAAAAAGTTGGAGCGGGATGTGGTGACAGGTGAGTCCTCCTGGGTGGTCAGGGATCTGCAGCAGGGCTCGTGGTGGGAGCGTGGGCTGGAGCTCAGAGCAGCCCTGCAGCTCGTCCTCAATCCTGTTCCCTTCACCCCACACGTACCAGGCACATAGATTTAGTTCACCAACACTTGAGGCTGTTAATAAATGTCACAGACTGTCTGCTGATAAAGGCTGCAGGCAGTTTCTGGTTTATAATAAATGCAATTAGGACAAACTGGATTAATTCCGTCGGTTTTGGGGTTTTATAAGCAAGGGCACATTTAACCTCCCCCCAAGGGCAGTCTCAGCTCACCTGCTACTGCTACACAGAGTTCTGCAAGGGGGAACTTGGACAAAATTCTGTTCACAGAATTAGCATCTTCTTATCAGAATAATTTATAAGAATCAAAAAAAGAATAGGCTGGGAGAACTGCTGAGGTGAAGCAGAAAGGCACAACCGCCACTGGCTCTGCACTTGCATTCAGCACTGGTAGTACACTGACAAAAGTCCTGTTGTGTGAAGCAAGAAACCACTGCTTTAAAGGGAAGAAATAGAAAGGTTACCTCCACACGTGGCCCTCACCCTCCCTGGCTCCTGCTCAGCCTCCCTCAGCCCTGGTGTAGTGCAGTCTCCACTTGAAGCAGCTTTTTCCTCCCAAAACACCCAGTTCACTGTGCACTTACACGTCATATATATATTTGTGTGTGTATATATATCTCTGGCCACTTGGGGACAAAATCTTGCTTCTGAAATGGACTTGTAACTTATATCATTATATTGTGGGGGTTTTTTTTTATGAGGGGTAAATATTGTAAAATGGGTTTTTAACATGTCCATCTTAAATGTAATTATGACCTGTTTTTAAAGTTGTAGTATTAAAGATGGTCTTTGTAAATCACTGGTACATACTTTGGAGTCAAATAAAGTTTTATGTTACTCTATTTCACTTTACCTGGGGAAGCGTAAGCATCAAGCTGATAAGCTGTAAAAGGGATACTGTACAGATTGGAAGGAACAATATGGCAGATAAGGAAAATTGCTTTATTTTTTGATTTATATAAGCATAATATGAAGTTAGTAATCCTACTGCAGTTGCTTAAGTTAGTATCTAGGAGTATCTGTAAGGAAGAGCAAATAACTTAATCTAAACTCATATCTTCCTCTTCATCTTTCTTGTCCTTAGAGTCTCCTTCCTTTTGGTCTGACTTGACACTGTTCTGCATGGCTTTGGCAAAGGCTTCTACATCTAGAAGTTAAACACACAAGTTACTGCATTTCCTGGCTGGAGCTCATTGTCACACAAGGTTAAAGCTTCATTACTTAGAAAGCAAACAGTTGCTTCAGTATGAATTAGCAGGGAGGAAAATTTTGAACAGTAGTAACACACATGCAGATCTCTCTGACACAGCATTTTATGCACTTTAATTGTGCATGGGCATCCTGAGACCAGAATTCTTGCAGTAATGGGAGAGATGCCAAAAGCTCATTAGGGAAAAGGGATTGCATCACTGCCAGAGCTGGCCCTGACTGTGATCACTGATTTCATGTGAATCACTAAAGGCTCCCACAAGAAAGGCATTGCTGAGCAAGGTGACTGTGACATCTCCAGAGTCTTTTGCATCTCTAGCAAGGAAACAACACCAATACACAGAACACCTCACTCTCTGTGCTGGAACACCTGTCCCACCCACCTTTTCCTTGTAAACATCAGTGCAAGGGTCACCTTGCAGACTCACAACTCAGAGAGTTAGAGAGAAGCTGATCCTTACACCCCACATTCAGTGGCCATGTGCAGTGCCAACACCCCCAACAACCCCTCCCTCCTGCTCCCACCAGCACCAGCACTCACCGCCTTTATTTGCTGCATCTACTGCCTCTGCAGGTAGCCCAAACTGGCTCATGAGTGGGCCCAGCTGTCCTGAAGCTAAGGCAGCACTGAACATGCTCAAAGCCTGTGGATTGGAGTCAACAGCATCAAAATAAAGTTTCCATCAGTATCCTGCAGCAGTAACCCCAGGAGGAGAGCAGTCCTGTCAGGGCAGGGGTTGGGAACAGATATGCAATAAAATAATCACCAATTACATGTGATTATTTTATTGCATATAAAATATGCAATAAACTTCCTCACTTCCTTTTGCACAGAAGTTTCTACAGTTTAATCTAAACCAGTCATTCAAGCTCCTGAAATTTTTCAAATGGACAAATTTCAATCAATTGGTGTAAATTATTAATTCAGACTGGTCTGTAAGACACCAGCTTTTATCACACACAGTGTCCTGCAATTAAGGACTGATGTTTCAAGGGATGTAGAGTAGTAACCATGAGCATCTCCTTCCTTCAGTCTGAAATTAAGGAGCCATTTGATGAAAGGGAATAATGAATTTCCTACTACTCCTGTCATTTGCCAGAGCACATTTATAGTAAAGAGAAATGTAAGGCTCAACTCCAAAAGAAGTAAAAACCATTCCCATCTGCCCTTGAGTGACTGCAGGAAGAACTAATGCTCCATTAAACCATGTCCCTCCTCCTTTCCACTTCTGCTGAGCAACTTCCCACTGTGAACAGTGCCAGGAAGCTGGAAAAGCAGGGCAAGGTGAATCAGGATGATGGGGAAGGGGGAAGAACTGCACTTCCCCCCAGAGCCAGCATCTACCTGCTGGAACTGAGGAGACGTCAGGGTGTTCTGGATCTCTTCAGCAGTCTGTGGCAGGGATTCCCCTGAGGGGAGGTAAGGCATCAATCGCTCCTGGACTTCAGCATTGGCCAGGATGGGAGCCATGATCTCGGGAGTCAGAACAGCTGCCAGGTCCACTAGGAGAAAACAAAGGGCTGGCCATGAGACTTCATCCAAAATCCCGTGTTTTTGTCATGTAAATCTAATTATCTAGTCAGGGTCTGAGTATTAAAATTATTACACTGCCATCATCTTTCCTTCCTCTCAGTTTTATAGTGAGAATCAGTCTCCTGAAGCAAAAACCAGCCTTGAAATTAAAAAAAAAAAAAAAAACAAACACCAAAAAACAGGAACAAAAAAATTAAGAGACCTTTCAAACCAATGTGGAACAGGACAGGACAGTAAAACAGCTCCAAAGGACTCCTGGATCCAGCAGCTGCTTGGTCAGAGCACTGTTACCTTGCTGTCCTCCTGCTCCAGATGGCACATTCATAGTAGCTAAAATGTTCTGAAGGTCACTCAATTGAATGGGCTGGGTTGGGCTTGTGGCTGAGCTGGTTCCATTACCCGAGCTGGGAACGGGGCTGGGGCTGGTCACCGAGGCGGCCGCAGGCACGGACGGGGCCGGCGTTACACGCGTGGAAGAAGTGGTGGAAGATGGAGTCACTGCAGCCGACTGGCTGCGAGAGCTGGCCAAGAGAATCAGGGTCATTAATTCCCTGCAGAAACCTCTTCTGTTCTGAAAAGCTTCTTTTCAAACCCTTACAGTATGAAAAACTCCTACCTCATTTTAGAGAGGTAATAAGCAGCCTTGATTCCCACCACATTCCCCATTAATAAGCCATGATTCCTCCCACAGCAGTGGCAAGTTCCCATTGCAATAGCCCAGGGCAGACAAGGCCTCCTACCTTGAGGATGAGCTGCTGGTTGGAGGTCCCCCACTCCCGAGCAGACTGGCCAGCCCAGGTCCTGTCAGTGCACCCAGCCCACCTTCCATGAATATAAAAGAAGAACAGGTTTAGACATTTATTTCTTCAGGTTTTCTGCACCTCTCTGCTCTGGAGAGGATGCTCTTGTACCTGAAAGGTTTTATTTGCTAAAATAGAGGAGGGGGTGAAAGAGCCCAACCCACCCTCCTATCCCCTTCTGCAAATTAACAGAATCTTCTTTTTTGATCTTGCATCCCTATCAGAGAGATGAACATCTCAGAAATGACTCAGTTTCTAGGTGTACACAAGGATGAATTTGCTCCAGTTTGTGCCACACGTACATCATTGTAACACAGCCCTCTCCTTATCTGCTGCATCAAAAATCCAACTTTTCTATGAACTTCAAAACCAAGGCTCTCAGCAGAAGATCCCAGAGGCATCTTTGAGTCATCACCACTCTCTCCTCACAGACCTGGGGTTTGCAGCTTCAAACCTAATGCAGAGATGCAGCAACAGAGCCAGCCAAGCTCTTAAACACGTCACAGGCAAAGGAAGGACAGCTCCACACACCAAGCGCTCACAGGGGAGCAGCCAGCAGGAAACCAACACCCTTATGCCAAAGAAAGCAGAATCAGCCTCCTCCATCACTTCCCAGCTACCGAGGACTTATGGCAGGGTCAAGAACCTCAGCTGGGAAAAGGCCTGGCTGCTGCCCCCCTGGAGTTGTCAGGGTCTTGACTGCTCCCCTACAACTCCTTTGAGACACATCAGCCATCTCCATCTCCCATCAGCAGCTCCTTGCACCACACCTGATCACACACACAGCACCTGCACTTCTCACCCACCTTTGGGAGCACCTGGCATCAGAGGACAGAACAGCAGCACTCAGTGAGCAAACCCAACTACAGCTACAGACCCTGCAGGTCAAAGTGAGCCCTGCCAGTCCCTCCTTGCACAGGAACAACCCCATGGAACCAACACCTCCTGTCACCTAACCCAGAGCTCCCAACAACAGGCATGGCAGGTGGAGCTCACCACACACTGCTCTGCTCCATTTCACAGTAAAAGTGACCCAGGAGCAAGAGAGCTCCTTTGGAGCTCTGCAGAGCCCCAAGAGATGCAAACCAGCTGTGACAAAGACAATTCCCAGAGGAAATGATCCCCAGGGATTCACCACAACCACTGTCTGCAGCAGCAAGCAGATGGTTCTCTTTCTGTTACGTGTCAATCTGGCTTATGGCTGAATGTAAAGGCAAGGAAAGAAGAATTGCTGAGGAAAAGTGTGGAAAAAAGGAGGACAGTCTCAGGATTACGTGAGGCTTCAAGAGGAAGATCTTTTCCAAACACATCCTAAAAGGCCAGATTTTTCCAACACTACCATGAGATTTGCATCTCAGCATCCCACCAATACACATCTGAAGCTAAGAAGACACCAGCCAGCTCCACAAAAATGGATTTCTGAGCTTAAGCACAGAATCTTTGTCACTGCTGTGCTCCTTTGCCTATTTACACTCGATGGTCTGACCTGTCAGAAAATGCTCCTGGAGCATGGATGGCATTGAGAACAGACCCCAGCCCCTTCAGAAACCAGTGATTCCAGCTCTCCCCAGGAGAGAGAGCCCTGCCCTGAGCCTTGCCCCCCTGACTGGGGAGTGCTGTGGGGTGGGACCACTCCGACCTTCCTCTTGAACTCTTTCTACTTTGCACACAAATATTCACTGAATCAGAGAATATTCCACAAGCAATTCCACTGCTTGGTAACCAGCACATTCACCAGGAGCACATCACTGGCTGTCAGCCCCTGCTCCAGTGAATATTTGGGAAGAAAAAGTGGAATAGAAAAAAAACAAGGGGAAAAAAAGCAGAAGATTCAGTGCAGCAAGGAGCAGAACCACAGTTCCTTGCAGATCAAGCCCTGAGATGAGTGCTGTGTAGAATCTGGTACCCTTTTTCTGTCCCTGAGCTCATCTCTGAGGCAGGGCCTTGCCTACTCACATGAAAGAAGTGCTATTGAGATCAATAGCACTGCTTGAGAACATTGTCAGGTAAGATTTAACCTGGCAGGAGAAAATACCATTTTGGCATAAAGATATTAAAGCATTTTACCAAGTCCTCCTAAGCCCGTTGGTCCGATCAGCTGCATGAGCTGGTTATGGCTCATGTTTCCAAGAAGGCTTTGCAAGCCACCCTCACCTAAAAACAAAAACATTCTGAAACACAACATATTCACATGGTTTTTTCACAGCACTCCGGCTCAAACAGCAGGAGATTAATTGGCATCACATTCTGTATGGAAAAACAGTTTCAAGTGTTTACTGATTCATGACCTTCATAAAAG